TCCAGGTCCCGCAACCCTCCGAGGGGGGAAGGTGTGGGGGGGGGGGGCGTTGCTTCACCCTCGTGTGCAGCTCTCAGTAAGTATCACCCCTCAACTCACGCGGTGCCACGCTTGGCTTTTGACCAGTCAGCATATCTGCCAGCCGGAATCAAGAATGTTTCCGCAAGTGAGAAACGCACGACAGCGAGATTTCTCGCATTGGTCCTAATAGCTTAAGTAACAGTTGGGCTCGCCTTCTTGAGGGGGGGGGGGGCGTTGCTTCACCCTCGTGTGCAGCTCTCAGTAAGTATCACCCCTCAACTCACGCGGTGCCACGCTTGGCTTTTGACCAGTCAGCATATCTGCCAGCCGGAATCAAGAATGTTTCCGCAAGTGAGAAACGCACGACAGCGAGATTTCTCGCATTGGTCCTAATAGCTTAAGTAACAGTTGGGCTCGCCTTCTTGAAGGTTCCAAGCTTAAAGGACAAAAACAAAAAGCAACATGGCATGACGTCCTGACTTAGCGAAAAAAAACATTGAGTGGCTGAAACGCAGTCTCATTTTTTTTTTGGATGACAGGTGCAAGTGGACACGTTCATAAACCTCCCAAAAGCAAAATGAGCTGCATTTTACGATCAAACCTCATTATTTATGTACAGCTCTCGCAGCAACAAACCGGTTTGTTCGTGACTTATTTAGGATGTTCCCAAAGCGGATCAGGTGGCCGACAAAATCCATGAAAGGATTGACGCGTTAGGTTGCTATTTTATTGCACTTGCAAAATAATAACAACGAGAAAATGTTGCGTAATGTGCAACATGTTGGTGAAAAAAATGTGCACTCTTCTGGTAGACGGGAATGTGGAAAGTCGTTTCCAAGGTGAACCGAATACGGCGATCATTCAGAATGTGGAAACGGGTCTGATAGGAATCTGTGACGTTGAATGTGTGATCGGGATTGAATGAGGAATTTTGGGGGTGAAAAATGTGGAATTGTGTCGATGGAGAATGTAGCGGTTCACTCACCTGACTTCGGCACGAGGCAGCAGGGATTCGTTTTCCACATGTGAGACGAATCCGCCGGGCGACCAATCCGGGGCGTTGTCACGCTTTCACTTCAACTCACCGGTTTTCCGGGAATCTCTTCCACGCTCTTAAAGGCGCGGCAACTCTTGCGGGGGTGCAGCTGAAAAAAAAAAAAAAAAACGCAGAGAAGTATAGCGGAGCGTGTCTGCCTTGTTTCCACTTCCCACTTGTTGTTTTTCGCCATTTGCACGGCAGCAGGCGTCATCGATTCACAATTGTTATCACTTGACTAGTCGGGCAGATCTCCTGAAAGTGAGATTGGAGTTCCGCACTGCCATCATCACAATGTTCCGAGCGCCAACTCTGCCAGCTGCCAGAGGACGCAGAAAGCAACAAAAAAAATAAATAAACAAAAACAATTTTTGCCCCCCCCAAAAAAAATCCACTCCGAAAAGATACCACAAGCCTAAAGCAGTCATCGAGATGCTCGTTCACAACGTGCCGCTCGTAAGTCATGTGACGTGGGTTTAACCAGTGTCCTGACTTTCTTCTTCTTCGACTTAAACGCCTGAGCTCCGATTTTGAAGAAAGATTTCAAGACTCTCGAGACATCAGAGCTGCGTCGCGGTTTGAAATTCACAGCACGTACACCTAAGTGCACTTTTTGCTTTTGCATTTCAAAGCAGGCAGGCCACTGATCAGGAACTGATCTTGGATCACAATCGGCGGAGAACCAGAAGCATAAATCAACCACTCGAATTGATGTCAACTTGTTTGGTGCTTCAAGAAATGCATCAAAGATAACGTCTTGTTACACGCATCGACTCGGGCGTCAATGTCAAAATCAACGGAACAGGGCAAGTCGGCATCTGTGTGCTAAGATCAAAAAGTTAATGAGCCACCTTGCTCGGGGTGACCTCATTTCAAGTTTGAGATGATGACAGTGAAACGCTCCTTCGAGAGTTGCTTTTCCTAATGGTGCTTTCCTTTTACGTCTGTGCGCCTTTCATGACATTAATCCGGATCGCCGAACCTTCTCGTCGAGTTCCCGCAACGCTCGACCTTGCGTGGGTGAACGCAAGCAAGCATCTGGCCGGGAAACAAGTGCCAAAGAAAGCTTATTTGGACGCTCTCGGCTGGCCATAATCAACCACTTCTGCTTTATGGGATCGTTTTCAAATCGGAAAAGTATTTGGCTGGCGCTGCTTCTTCACGTTGATGACGCGGTTTTGTTTTTTTCTTTGTGATTTCAGGCTTCTTTTACGTAGAACTGACTTGGTTTGGACCCATGGTGAGAAAGAGAGAGAAAATTCAGAAAAATCCGGATCCAAAAAGGTAACTTCAAACGCAGCACATCCCTGTACTTGCCAACTGAGAGTGGCCGCAAGTTGTGACGTCGGCGAACAAAAGTAAACACGGCTTTGATTTTTAAGAATAAAAATGGCGCCGACCATCAAACAGTATGTTCATGTTTGTCATTATGTTGGTCCTTGGAGAGCTATGTTTTGTTTCTGTTTTTGTTTTTTTCGATGATACCGTCTTGACCCGAATATAAGACGGCCCTGATTATAAGACGAACCCCTTTTTCAAGACTCAAGTTTGAAAAAAGACTTTTTGAACACCAAATACATTTCTATACAGAAAATAATTACAGTACATCTGAAACAAATGATTATAACAATATATTTGAGAGAAAAAGCATGTTATTTTGCCTCATTGAAATCTTAATATTTGAACATTTAAATATGTAAACTAAAGTACAAACACATTCGTAAATGAATGGCTTCTGGTTTTTGAAATGTAAACTACATCATAACTTCTCCTCAGTTGCCGGTTAACCTGGCCGATCTTTGACCCACTTTTCTCCAGATTGTCGCTACGTTTCTCCATTTTCTGTAATCGCTTCTATTATTTTCTTCTCTTTTCTTTCTTACCACCATTTTTTATTTTTCCTCTCCGTGCTACCGCTATTTTTCTTTTTATTCTTCGTGACAGGGGTTCGCTTTGGCCTGGGGAGTCAAGTTCAGCATTCGCTTCAAAGATATCTGGCGCCATCTAGCGTCATGAATGAGTATAATGTCTAGACCCCGAATATAAGACGACCCCCACTTTTTCAGTCTTATTTCAATGCAAAAAACACCGTCTTATATTCGGGCCAACACGGTACTTGCTGTCTAAAGTTGGCGTATGCACTGGCATACCAAACAAATTGAAATCTAATTCCTTTCATTTCTCTTGTACCCCCCCTCTCAGCGATGCACATACAGACGCAGATAATCCTGCCTCGGCACCAGGGTGGGAGTCGTCTAGGCGAGGTGGAGGCAACTAAGCCCCCCTGGGAGAAACGTCACCAGGCTGGGACGCATCATCGACCAGTCTCCGCGAAAGCGCGCCCACACTCCGCCGCCGCCGCGGACGTCAGGATCGCTTTCTTCTCCTTTCCCCCCCTCCTCCTCCCCCCCTCCCTAAATGCGAGATGCTCGGCCAAATGCAATTAAATCGAGCAACGGCGAGCGAGGGCGCGCGCCTTGTCGGAGAGGAAGCGTTCACCTGCTCTTGCATCCAAGCGGGATAAAACAAGTGGGGAAGGTCATTGAAAGTGAAGGAAGGAGGGAGGGAGGAAGGAAGGAGGCTGCGCGGAGCCGGAGCTGAAGCCGGAGCGGAGCATGCTCGTGGAGGAAGAGGGCACGGCGAACTGGCAACATCTGTAAGTTCTCCCCGGGAGATTTTTGTCTGCGAGTAAACATGCCGGTGAGAAGAGGACACGTCGCTCCGCAAAACACGTTTCTTGGGATCATTATCCGGAAATTCGAGGGGCAGAGTAAGTATCATTCGCCGGAATGTTAATTGGTGAGCAAATACGAAGGACATGAAAAGAAAAATAAAGCGAAAGAAA